ATTCCACTAACGATACGACATGCCAATAAGCTAAAGAAAATATATCATCCAATGCATTTTCATAAATCATCGAATTTCTTTTAAGTAAATCAGACGTTTAACGAAATTTATAAAAGCTACAATTACTAGCCATTAGAATCCGTCATTAATTTGTTTGTACTTTTGGGAAAATTTCTGTTGACGCGCTGTCATCCTAATTTCAGTTTATCACGTGATGTCACATTCTTTTCATGCGTTCTCTTTCACACAAGAAAACAAACTCACGGTCAAGGAGTTATATATTTATTTTATCTTTAAATGTATTAGCTTTTATATAAATGTCAAAGGTGTGCCGGCTGAACTTTTCATTTTATGAATAATTTTTAATTAAAATTTCAATCATACGACTTTTATTTATAAGTATGTTCCGAAGTTTGTATATAAAGCATTTTTATACAATAAGAAATTCCTTTTATATTGATTATAAGAAAACCTAATCCAGATAAGGTTCGAGGATAGGCTTTGTCATATATTATATTAATTGAAGAAAGTTTACTATTATTTCGCATTGTTTAGATATTTAATCTCGGTGCCTAAGAATATTAAATTAAAAAGAAACATTAACTCGATAATTTTAAAGGTTGAATTATTTAACTGCATTTTTGTGTTTATAAAACGTGAACAGCAGCGTCAACACCGTATAAATGTACAACAGATGTCATAAAAACGCAAAACTTGAATCGATCCATTCTTATAAAAAAAACTTTAACCTATATAAATAATATAATGTAAGCGATGAAATAAAATGAAACCCGTATAAACGTATTATGTTATTTAAGCTAAATTAAATTAAAATATTTGAGCTAAATCGAAAAGTCATGAAGTCAATATTTATAAACATACACGTGTATACATACGTACACATTCATACGCACATACGTACGCGCGCGCGCACGCGCACACACATACATATATATAACAATGTTTTAATGTTAACGAGTATCATAATATATTCATTAAAATTCCTATAAAATGTCTACATGTTTTACAAATCTTATATATTTCATGCGTAAATTACAAAGAAATAAGATCTTATTTCACAATTACATTGGGAAATAGTTTAATATACTATTGCAATATTATTTTACCAAGTACTGGTTTTTGAAATATGAAGTATTGAAGAAATTCATTTTTTCGATATTATTTTTTTGCATTTCACATAAAATATTTTAAACACGAGAAATTACTCATAGTTCTTATTATCATAATTATACGCATTAATATTACAGAAACTAACATAACTTAAACATTTTTATGAACTGTTGAGTCAGCTAGATAATTCCGAATACTATATATATGCAAGAACTAAAAAGGCAACAAGGATAAACGCGAGTGAATTCGTTCGATTTCTAATTAGCTTATCAATAAAACTTATAGGGTCAATTGTATCGTGTTATATAATTCAATATATATATATATATATATATATATATATAGAGAGAGAGTGTGTGTGTGTGTGTGTGTGTGTGTGTGTGCGCATGCGTGCGTGTGTGTGTTGTATAATGTATTGGTGCTGGTACCTATAATATCAAAAAATCAAATAAAAGATAAAAAAAATCATCGACTTTTAACTTCCATTGGAATAATAATCATTTGATCAACTATCAGAATCGGGTGAATGTCAAGTTAGATTGAACAAGTAATGTTTGAAAGATTATTTTAAGCGATAAGCTGAATATATATATATATATATATATATATATATATATATATATATATATATATATATATATATATTAAACATCATAAATAATTTTTCTTATTAAATTATAATATTATATTGGAACATTTCAGATATCATACGTGAATATTTCATATATAATAGGAAATTAAAGCAATAGTTAATTTATCATTGCATAAATATTGTTTCATAGCTAAGAAACAGTTTAGTATGTAAAATGTGATGGTTAATCATTTCATAATGGAGGATTCGTCGACATGAATCACTTGCAAGTTCCATCTCCTAAAAAATCGAATAATCATAATCTACTTAATCTTTTTCAATAGAATAAGAAATAAATTTGCCCTTGATGATATTAATTTCTGTTAGAAATTTTTTTTTATTTAGAAATATTTCCCATTTTACTTCTGAAATAAGTTTCATTGCCTATATAAATATATAAATATTTCCAATATACTTATTATTGTTATAATATTATAACAATCATATTATAATTGAAATATTATTAAAATAATAAATAAAAATTCATTGTTTATGCTTAAGGACTGGCTAGCTTATTAATATTTACGTTTTTCGTATTGAAATACTTCAATGAACGTCTATATATTTTTATGCTAAGACTTAATTTTTATACTTCTTTAAGTTTTCAAGAAAAAAAAAAAAAAAAAAAGAAGAATTTTAATATCTTGAGGTTGATGGTGTGTTAGAGCATAGTTTACGAAATTTACCGTATTGAAATATTTATAATTTAAAATAGTTTTTTTCTCCTCACGTGAATAATTTTTGAAGACTAAAGCAAGAAGAATAAATTAAAATAAGATGTACTCTTAAAAAAAAAAAAAAATATGACATCCCATATTGTAAAACAAAAAAATCATATCATTTCCTCGAGTTCGTACGTCATAGTTACGTGAAATATAAAGTTTCTGGTCTGGAGTCACTTTTGAATTAGTCAGTGTATTAATTAAAATAAGATAAATTTATGTCTATGAGGTCCGAGCTTTAAATTCTTTTATATTTATTTGTTATAATAACATTATCATTTGGCAATTATAAATGGTGTGGTAAATTTCTTTTTTTTTCCATTTTTTTTTGCCTCACTTTACTTACATAGAATTATGTGGCTAATGGATTTTTATGTTACGTGTTCCGCACTTAGCATATGAATAATATAATAAGAATAATTATGGAAAATAACAAAGTTTTTCAAGAAATGTCGAATAATTAATTTTACATAAATTTAATGTATTTATATAATGTAACAAATTATATTAAAATACAATTGTCAGGTGCTTTCTTAATGTCGATAGAATATGTGGTGTTATGTTAAATATTTGTAAATAGAAAATTTTTGTGCTCCTCTAGGTTGGTAAGGTTTTGAAAATCAACTAAAACAACATGTATACAATTTTCTGAAAATTTTAATTATGCTCGTTTAACACTTGGTGTGGAAAACTTTTCCAAATCCACAGTGTGTAAATAATCTTTTGTTTTATCATAATTCATTATGGCATTCATTATATGTGGATCTTTTTTTCTTCAAAAAAGTTTATTATTTTGCAATATATATATATATATATATATATATATATATATATATATATATATATGCGTGTGTGTGTGTGCGTGTGTGTGCGCGTGCATGCGTGTAAAGACGATTACAATTGAAATTATCGACAAATATATTTTAAACGGTAGTTTTCTTATTATTTGGAATAATGGAATCATGTTGAGAAAACTGAAATTTTTTTTAAACGCAGCTCGACATTAAATTACAATAGATGACGCAAAGGAATTTTTGATTACGACAGAAGCTTCAACATTGAATACAAAGTGATTTATTTAATTTAATTATAAATTTTTTTTTTCTAATACTGATAAAAGAAAGATTAGATGATGGTTTCTACATATCAATATGGGAAATAATAATTATCAATACCGAGGGAATAAATAATATACGGAAGAGTATAATGTGATATCGAAGCCGGTTTTTAAAAAGAATTTCTATTAAATGGATGATGTTTTATAATTTATGATTTCAATTTAAAGTACTATTTAGTAAACTTAGTGGATCGTATGATTCTTGGTACTCGTGAGGAAAGATTTATTTTTAGGCTCATTATGAGGAATAGGAAATTAAATTTCGATTAGACAATTTATATTATTTATTAATCGTTAGGCTCGTTAGTTGAACTTTTTCATTTCATCGTTTGAAATAACCATTTCATCGGCAACGTAAAAATAGCTTTTATCCTTGCAGTAGCATAATAGTAAACAAAGTCGACTAGTCCATTTGTTTATAAAGTTTTTGCGGTTCAATCTTAATCAATAGTATCGGCCGGCAATAACGTATTTATTGTTAAGGAAGTTAAGTAAGATGCGCGCGGCAAACTCCTCGATTAATAATGAAAAATCCATAAATTGTAAAAGCATTTTCCGGGCAAAATACGGGCAAATATAATCGCGTAAGATCGACAGTCACAATACACAATACACAATAGAATCTTGAAATATCACATTTGCACGCTTCTTGTCCAATTTGAAAGAGGCGGTAAATCATTGTATTAAAGTGGACCGTTCGAGGTGCCGCTGCGATAAGCTCCCTAATGTAAATCACTTGCAAATTCGTAGGCCGAATGATAAAAGAGCCGAGTCACGCGTAGAGAAGGACTCGCAAAAGAAAATAGAAGAGAAAAAAGTCTAGAAGAACGGAACAAAAACGTAGAAGAAAAAAACAAAGGGAAAGGATGGCACGAAGAAGGAAGACTATAGCCGAGATCGCGTTGCCCTTGGAAAGGAAAGTAGCTATGTACCAGGACAGAGTCATTCGCCCCTCGTGCGCGGTAGGCTTCCCCACCTCTGAGATTTTCGTGGCGCCGGCCCGAGGAAGGCGCGTATGTGCCGCCCGGGGGGGACGAGAGGCTCGCGCGAGGTGCCCGTCGAGGCAGGTGGCGAGTCTTTTCGAAAAAGCGCGCGCGAGCGGACGAGCTGCTCGTCGTCGTCGGTTGCACTTACGGCAACTCGATCTTCCTCTGCCTCGACATTTTCGCTTCATCACCAGTGCTAGCCACACACTGGCAGCAGAACAGAGACAGAGAAAAGAGAAACAGTTATATCTATCTACACACACACACACACACACGCACACACGTGCACACGTACATACGCACACGCGCGCGCACACTCATACACACACACACACACACACACACACACACATATATATATATATATATACATATACAGAGAGAGAGAGAGAGAGAGAGAGAGAGAGAGAGACAGAGATAGAGAGTGCGTAGAAAGCGAGCGAGAGAGGGACGGACGGACGGACGGACGAAGAGGAGCTGGAGAAAGTGCTCGCCAGTCGTGCACGGATCTGATAATAAGGTTAGTGAAATTGAAGGGGCTCGAGGCAAACTCGACGACTCTTCACGGCTTTTGGTCCTTCGAGTCCAGGCCCGTGCGTGCACCCATCCTTCTCCTCCTCCTCCTCCTCATTCTCTTAGTTACACGATCCTCCTATTGCCGACCAATTGTAATCCGAACAAAATTATCAATGAGGCCGATGTCGCGTCTTACTTTCCTATCGCGCCCCGTGATAATCCTCGACGCGCGGCCCAAGTGTAAATTTCACCTCGGTTCGCCACTCCAAAGACAAGGACTTGCTGATGTTCCATGAAATATTTAACACAACGCCAACGGCCGTAATCGCGCGTAATATTGAAAGCGATGTCACCTTACGTGATTTATCGCTCCCAAGAGTAAATAGATTAGCATTTCAAAGGAGAGCCCCGTTGGCGTGTGGTGTGTGTTGGGAATCGGATGGGACGGCGATGGTAGGGGGACGGAGGAGGAGTCGAGGAGGGAGAAAAAAGGTAACTAACCAGTGGAGCCAGAAACAATAATAATGTAAAATAAAAATGAGGTATGGCGGTATGACGGCGTTGGCCTACCTTCGAGCGTTTCCCAATCGGACGCAAAACCTCGCACGTTTATTGGTTTAATAGGAGTCAACCGACGATCGATGTTTAAAAAAATATGCTTTTTACGAGGACCGGAGTTACCTCATTGTCGGTACGCAATTCATTGCATAACCTCGTCTCATAATAAATATTCACGTATGGTTCGATGTCGAGCGCGAACAATTTCATTGAAAAGAATGAAGCGGCGATGTGGGAGCACAGCCGAGGCGGCCGAGCCGAGAAGCCGATAATGCAAAACTCGCGCCAATCCCCGCGCGCCGCTCACCCAAAATATTGACATTTCCTCCTGAAACACAAATATTCGAAGGATTCACCCAAGGCGTTGTTACTACGCTCGCTGTCGCTGCTGTTATAATCGCTTTGGTTAACGTCGTCATCCGTACGTCGAGCGATTGTTATTCTCCGTCCCGAGCGACGACGACTACTACGACTACGGCGACGACGACAACGACGACGACGACGACGACGACGACGACGACGACGACGACGACGACGACGACGACGACGACGACGACGACGACGACGACGACGACGACGACGACGACGACGACGACGACGACGACGACGACGACGACGACGACGACGACGACGACGACGACGACGACGACGACGACGACGACGACGACGACGACGACGACGACGACGACGACGACGACGACGACGACGACGACGACGACGACGACGACGACGACGACGACGACGACGACGACGACGACGACGACGACGACGACGACGACGACGACGACGACGACGACGACGACGACGACGACGACGACGACGACGACGACGACGACGACGACGACGACGACGACGACGACGACGACGACGACGACGACGACGACGACGACGACGACGACGACGACGACGACGACGACGACGACGACGACGACGACGACGACGACGACGACGACGACGACGACGACGACGACGACGACGACGACGACGACGACGACGACGACGACGACGACGACGACGACGACGACGACGACGACGACGACGACGACGACGACGACGACGACGACGACGACGACGACGACGACGACGACGACGACGACGACGACGAGAACAACGATGACGACGACGACAACGACAACACAACGACAACACAACGACAACAATGACAACACAACGACCATGACGACGAAACGTGTCAGCAGGTTTATCGGACGCCGCGCGAGCGTTTCGGCACAGATTTTTATTCAATCGGAACCGCTCGGATAGCGCGCGCCCGTATCACTCGTCAAGATAACGAGCTCCTCGTCGTTCTTACATCGCCTCTCCTTCGATTGTTTGTCTCTTCCCAATAAGACATCGTTTATCGAAAATGGAACGATGGCGCAATAATGACATTGGACGGCAGTCGTCGTGAATTTCATTTTCACGTTATTTCTCCTCTTCCTTTTTGCGCTTTTTGATGTTTAGAAGGCAGGCGAGTGATGCGCGCGCACGCCGAATGAAAAGTTCCAAGGCTTCGCTCAAAAAAGGGATCGATTTTGAATCGACTGTTGGAGTTGGGAAGGGATGGGGGAGGCAGGGAGGTGTGGCGAGGCTGTTTTCGTTAGATTTTCCGAATATTTCGACGAGCCCGAACGCGTCACCGGACCGCGGCAGATCGTTAAAATTTTTTTTTTTTAATTAACGATGATCGGCATGCGTTCTTCAATAAGATTGGCTCATTGATACATTGAAGCGATAATAATTGGTTTAATAAATGCTCACACAGATATCACCTACCTTTACATCACTCTTTCACTTTCTTCTTTCTCTTCTCTTGAATCTCTATCTATCTCTCTCTTTCTCTCTCTCTCTCTCTCTCTCTCTTGCTCATTTTTTTTATAAATACTTGCTTCATTCTTTAGAAAATATTTTATTTGTATTTAATGAATTGTAAATGAAAATCGCGCGGTTAAGTGGAAAATGCTTTTAGCTAGCCATAAACTACGGCCGCATAGAGAATTGAATTTTAATTAATTGAGAAATTATTTACTTTCTTGTGATATCTCAATAATGGTTTAAACGATAATTCGCATTCTTTTGGCTTTAATGGTACGGCCGTGTAAATTTCTACTCCTACTATCGTGATAATCCAATAATTGCGAGACATTATTTAACCAACGACAATAAGGTCATTAAGCACCGTAGCTATGTTATCCTCGGATAGATTGTCGTCGAGTAGTTTGCAACTGGTAGTTTTCCGAGAAAAGTGGGTGAAAGCAAATTCGGACTTTTATGCGTAACGGAAAAATTTATTACGAATAAAATCACCCAACCAGTGAGAATCTAATTACAGGCGAGAACGACTCTTCGTAGGTCCGAGACCATAAAATCAAGCACTAAAATCTTATTACGCTACTACGGCTTCGGCACAATCCAAATTCTGTCACTTGGAGTCGTAAAGCCTTTTACAATTGTACAAGACGCCGTTCTCACAGGTTCTTTAATTTTTCTAGTTTGGCAATAAAGTCATAATTCTCGGCGATCGGGAATTTTACAATCACTAGAATCCGAGGGGCCAATAATTATAGAAACGCTAGAGGTCAGCGCGTACGCATCGATCGCTGACCAAACGAATCATCTGAGGCCAAAACCGCGTAAAGTTGCAACGAGTCCATCGCCGCCTTCTCCTCCTCCTTCACCTCCTCCTCCTCCTCCTCCTCCTCCTCCTCCTCCTCCTCCTACTCCTCCACCACCTCTTCCTCCTTACCCTCGCATTTTCTAAACAAATTCGTAGAGCGCCGTGACGAAAGCGCAAAAATGTTCATTGCTAACACGTACGGTGGCTCGAGCCTGAGCCTTGAACAATTTTGAAAGAAAAACCTTGCACCTTAATGACGCGCTTGTGAAGAGCAACGCCGCCGCCGCCGCGGCGGGGGTGGAGGCGGAGGCGAAGCGACGCGTGCCACGGGACGAGCGAACGGAGGATTTTGTCAAATCGGCAAGAAAGAGAATGTGTGAGTGAGAGAGAGAGAGAGAGAGAGAGAGAGATATTAAGAAGCTTTGGGGCTACACGCAGCCACGCACACGCACACGGAGCCGCGCGCTTGCTTATTGCTCAATGCGCGCGAACACCAGCTGCATTATTGATCAGCGTAGTCTCTTTTTCGAGATGTATGCATGAATCGGCAATGATCGCGAAAGTCACCACGATCGTTATATTACTTTGGCTGCATCAGACTCATCCGGGCAAATGTCATTCGTCGTGGGGTGATAAAGTAGTGGGAGTGGAGAGGAGATGATCGGGCCCGCCAATCGTTGCCAGCGGGAAAATAAATAAATTCGCAAACTCGGTTTTATTATCCTGATTATGTGGGACTAGGAGGACGGGGAGTTACGCCCGGGACCCGTAGCTTCGACCATTAACGAATGGGCATACTACGTGTTTCTTGTCGACTCGACATTTTGCAATATTTGCAAACTTGTGTAGTTGAGGTTGGATTACGATGTGGATGAAGCGGTGATCTAATAGCGAGGCTGCGCGTTTATTTACTTTTAATAATTAATGTTTAGCTATTGATTTAGAAAATTATAGTGAAACTCACTGTACCTTGAGCGACATGCATTGGCATCTATGTCGTTGTTTTTTCACTCATCTCCTTCTTCTTCTTCTTCTTCTTCTTCTTCTTATTTGATGATATTATTTAAAAATAAGCTTTGATAATTATTAAATGTAATCATGAAATTTCTCGACGTCGGCTAAATAATTATAGTTTCGCAGTTTACCTGAGTCACACTTTTAAGGAAACAGCCAAGTCGTATGTAAATTATACAGGCTAAGTTCTTGTCTCGTAGCCGCATCTATAATAACGATAACAACAACGACACCGATAATAAGAACAATAGTAATAGTAATAATAATTAATAATTAATAATTAATAATAATAACAATAATAATAACAATAATTCTTTATACGTTTCATTAAAAATATGCATTTTTATGCCGACGTACGTCATGGCTAAAAGCAGACCTTCAACTTGAACGCGTCACACATGTTAAACATTATTTGGTTGGCGTGGCTCGTCGCTTCATCTCTGTCCCTCGTGTAATCACCCACATTACGCACCTTGCAAATTACCCGCGCATCCGGATTTAATTGTGTCAAAGCATAATGATGCACTTAGCAGCCGAGGCTTCGGGCATTATTATTTGCCATTACGAGTGTGAAAGGAAAGAAAAAAAAAAAAAAAAAAAAAAAAAAAAAAAAAAAAAGAATAAAAAGGAAAGAGCAAAAATGAAAAAATAATCGAAAAGGTGCGCTCTGTTCATTTTGCGCAATCGCCTCCGACCGGAGCAAACAGTCGCGCATCTCGAGGATCTTCTTCGGTTTCTTTACACTTTTACACTCACCTCGGAGCTTTGCACGAGGTATTTGCAACTAAGTGAAATAGGCTCGACGATTTGACTTT